CCAAAAGGAATGAACCTCAGGCAGATCCAAAACCTGGGTCTGCTGAGGGACGCTACACCTGACAACTGAACTTATTTCAGCTAGGCTCACAGCAACAGCTTAGGAAGAGGCTGGGGTGGTTCTGTACCCCTGATGGGCACCTGAGAGGCAGGTGGGAACACGGTCCGTTTCCAGAACAGTTAGGTGATGGTAGAGAGTGGACAGAAGAAGTGTATAAACATGCCCATGAGAAGAGCAAAGCTGAGCTTGGACAGATGGAATCCTTGCTCCATGCAGTGGTATCTTCAGTAGGTCTATGGCCTCATGGGGACCTGGATGTCTACATCAGTGCAAGGGGACGTGCAGTCATCTCCTGTTCTATGTGACCTGCTCTGCATGTTTCCATATCTTTTGCCTTTCAAGAAATTTTATGTCCTCTGACACTGTTGTGTGGGCAAACAAAGACAAAATGAACACATCCTGACCACTTAGCCAATCCTGTGCAAGGTGCCTCACCGCCATTATTTCATCTAATACTCACGATAGTGAGGTAAGTACAGTGAGGAAACTAAGATGTAGGGAGAACAAGGTAATGCGTTTGAAACCAGTCTTGCGTGGCTCCAAACCTCTGCTCTTTCTCCTGGATCACACACTTTCTTCCAGGGAACTTATTTATATTCAGCAGGAGAACATTATTATGAAAGGGAAATTTTTAGAAGGTTAATTTGGTAGCCCAGATGGGAGGGGACTGCAGTAGAGGGAGATTGGAAAGAAAGATAAGGTTAAGGTGTTATTGCAATAGTATATGAGCTGTGTGAAAATTTCCTTCTGTAGAAAAAGTAGTTTTTAAGGACTTTTTTTTAATTTTTGTAGAAATTGACAAGCTTATCCTAAAATTCAAATGGAAATGCAAAGGACCTAAAATAACCAAAACAATTTTGAGGAACATTGTCAGAGAACTCACACTATGTGAATTACAGACTTACCATGAAGCTATATTGACATATATATAGAAGACATTGACATAAATATATTGACATGAAGACATTGACATAAATATAGACACACAGATCAAGCGAGCAGAGTAGAGTCCAGAAATGGTCAGTTGATTTTCGACAAGGATACCAAAGTAATTCAATGAGGAAAGAATGGTCTTTTCAACAAATAGTAATGATACAATGCAGTAATAATGATTAATAAACCTTGACTGTTAACTCACACTATATACAAAAAATTATATGAAATGAATTATAAACCTAAATGTTAAAACTAGAACTATAAAATTTCTAGAAAATATATAAGGGAAAATCTTTGTGCCTTGGATTAGGCAAAGTTTCTTAAGACACAAAAAACATGAACTATAAAAGAAAAAAATTGATAACTTGAACTTTATCAAAATTAAAAACCCTTATTCTTCAAAAGACACTGTTAAGGAAATGAAAAGGCAAGCCACAGACTGGGAGAAAATATTTTCAAGATACATATCCGATAAAGAACTTGAATCTAAAATATATATAGATTATAGAATCTATAGAATTCTTACAACTTTAAAATAAAACAGCAGACAACTTGATAAAAAATGTGCAAAAATTTGAGCAGGCACTTTACCAAAGATATATGAATGGTAAAGAGGCATATGAAAGGATGCTCAATCTCATTAGTCTTTAGGGAAATGCAAATTAAAACCACAGAGATACCGCTATCTACTTACTTGAATAGCTAAAATGAAAGACCCTGACAATAGGAAGCATAGCAAGGGTGTGGATCAACTTGCAAATCTTCACCCAAGAGAAGTGAAAGCGTATGTCCACACAATTACTTGTACATGAAAATTCGTAGTGGCTTTATTGACAATAGCCAAAAATTGGAAAAAATATACATCAACCAATGAAAGGATAAACAAATTGTGATTCACCTCTATATAATGCTCAAAAGCATTATATTAAGTGAAAGAAACCAGGCATAAAAGACTATATATTGTATGATTCCATTTGTAAGAAATTGTAGGAAATGCAAAAGGATAGTGACAGAAAGATCAGTTTCGAGGGCTGAGAATGAGGGGAGGAGATTGAGAGTCAAGGGACGGAGGGAAATTTGGGGGGTCATGGAAATTTCCATGGATTGTGGCAATGGTTACATACATGATTATATACGTTCGTCAAAGTGTACACTTTAATAAGTGAATTTATTTTATTTAAATAATACTTTAATAAAGCTGATTGAAAAGTAGTATGCCTTAAAGAATTGGTATTTTTCTCTAGATAATAATAATTATGCAACACATCTTTTGTCCATGTTGGCCTTGGCTTGAAGGAAGTTTGTAGCTAAATTTAATGCTCAATCATAGTAACAATGAATGTCCTTTGGATTAGCAATGCACTTTCTATAGGTATAATTGACATTTTCTATTTATTTTTAATAAAACCTACCTTTTGTATGTCTTTTATTATCAGATATTAAGAACCTTTTTAGAAACAAGCAGAGTATAAAATAAACCTAAAACATACACATAATCATAAGGAGACAGGAGGCTAATTGAGATTAGTAATTGAGAAGATAGGACAAAATCATGTGCCCTAGACAAAAAAACACCACCAGGCTTGTTACTGATTTCAATTTGCCTCTGGGCTGCCGGACAGTTTCAAAGGAGAGCAAGCCACAGTTACAACGAGGCTTCAGGGGGACAGGCTGCTCAAGAACTGATTTCCAACAGAAACTTCTTTATAAAGGAAAGCTATTTAACTATGTATAATCTTGAAATTATAGCTTAATAGACCATCTTATCAACAATGCTTTACTAGTTTGGACATTTTAAATGTGTTGGGATAGATTTTTACAGGTTTGAGTGATATTCCTTTCACTATGCAAAGATGCAGCCCACTCATTCAGAAAGATGCTCCGGAGGAATGTTGCTTACAAGGTTTTGTTCACTCTGGGAACTACAATCTTTGTATCCATCAAGCAGAATTTACTCATCTAAGGTGCCTAATATGCATCAATACCTGAACGTTCTTTCTTTGGGACCTTGAAGATGAACACAGGATTTATTGAGAATGACCTGGATCTATATTATCGATGGAAAAAACAATATACAGTAATGAGCAAAAGAAATTATTGCAAGAATTATGAAGCATATAAAAGAGGCTCTGAAATCAATTTCTAGATCCTTCTCGTTGCTCATCCTTGTCTGATGCAGTCTGGGACAAAATGACAACATCTTAGAATTAGAATTCTATTACGATTTCCAAATTATTCTCTATCTCTGTTTACCTGATTGCTCAAAGATTAAATAAAGACTTTATCATATGCTTCTGGTGGAGATTTTGCTTTGGCTAATATGCTCTGTAAAATGTGGCTGCCCCTTTCCTGGATTACCTGGCTGGTGCACCTGTCCATCTCTATTCTGAAGACTTCTCTTCCGCCACTTTGCCTGCCCTTCAGCTATATAGAAAATATTACCATCTCTTTTTGGGCTGGGGAGGATGTCAGTTTTTCACTGAGGTCTGTCTCACATATCAATTTCTGCCGTTAATCATTGCCACCACATCTGTGTGACCCACCATTATATCCCAAAAGCAGTTGCTCAGACGACTTCCCATTCACCCACTTCCTTCCCAGTGGGATAAACCTTCCTTCCTTGGGATAAACCTCCCAAGATTGTAAGGCCAGAAGCTAGTCCTGGAGAGGAGACCATTTCAGCACTACCTCTGTCCAGGCCTAAGATCATTCTTAGAGATGTCATTGACCTAGGCAGAGCGAGACACACATCTTTGTCTTTTAAGCAAAACTATGACTACAGGGCAGATACTCTGCCATTTTCTGTTACACCTATATCAAATATTTCTAGCTTCAAGGCAGTAGTTCTTAAATTTTAGTATGCATTAGAATCATCTGGATCATTTGCTAAAATGCAGATTCTCATTATATATTCAAATTCAGTAGGTTTTGAGGGAAGCCCAGGAATCTGAATTTTTACAATATCCCCTTGGAAATTCTAATGCATATGGTTTTTTGACCAAACATGGAGAAACAATGACTACTATAAGAGAAGAAGTGAGTCTAATATGGTCAATGAACTTGAGCATCCTGAAAGACCAAAGATCAAGTCACAGGATTCAGTTCTTGGTATGTGAGCTTATTGGTGTGGGCTAATATTGATATCCAAGGTATTGATTAAAAAATACAGATCACTGGGCTTCCTCCACACCCACGGGGCCGAGGCTCAGGAACCTGCACTCTACAAACATTCCCAGTGATTCTTAGGCAATTGGAAGTTTGAAGACCGCAGGAGAGATCTTGTATTCAGCCAATTTCACACTCATTTACCAAGACTACCCGCTGAAAGCAGGCTGATTAGTAAAGGACCATGGTATGAGAGCTTCTAGCAAAATTTGGTAGCAAGCAGCAACGGCTTAATTAAAATTCAAATCTCATCTCTATTCCTCAAATTCAATTCTACTGCCATGGCAAAGAATTATCTCTGCATAATGAAAGGGCCTGATGAGCCTAACTTGAGTTTGAAATTTGGCTCACATTTTTTTCCTCCACTGTTATGAGCAGAGTAAATAATGCCCATGCAGTAATCTCAACAGTTGCTCTTTTGGTAACAGCCCAGAGCCAAGAATGCGCTGTTTTCTTTTTCCACTTCGATATCTTAATGGAATGAACGTGATATTATTTATCAACTGTAAGCTTGATGGAATATATCATATAAATCATCTCAAATGTTATTTGCCACCTGCCTGCCTGTTCTGAAATGCATGCAGCTTAATTAATCTAATTAGTCAATGCACAGATCAGGAGCACATTTACAGCTTCTCTGTCATCATAAATAAACTAGTTTTGTTTTCAGAGGCTAAATAATTCATTTTAAAGATGGATACTAGGAAGAATTGGGAGAACTGACCTCTATTACAGTAAAACATGGAATAACGATGACAGGGTTTTCTTTTTGTTCTGCATGCCCTCCATTAACCTTCTATTAAAATACTCCCTTGTGGGGGAGGCTAGGGGGGAGGAGGGGCACGCAGCAGAAATGTCATGCCCTCCCACCTGGAGAGGCATACCTGCCATTTGCTGAGAATGAGCTTACCCATTTTAAACCTCATGATGGAAAGACACATGGCTTCTCAAGTACATGCATGTGCGCTAGAGAGCTGAGGACCACAGATGCTGTAAATTCGGGAGCCCAGGCTGCTGGCTGAGGACAAATCCAAAAGGAGAAAAGGGTCAGAGGAGCAGGTGGGAAATGAGGCTGAGCACAGTGAACAGGTTGGATGCTGTGAACGAGCAATTGTTTCTTTTCACAGCGCTGGCTACCTGGTGCAGCCATACTGACTGTGTGGTCCCCAACTCCAGGATGTACACTTACCTGACAACAGCATGAATGGAGTCATGCAACATGGCAGCTCTGAAAGAGACAGTATACTGTAGTGTATTGGTTAAAGCCCCAAGTCCATAGTTAAATAAATCTGGACTTGCATCCCACCTTCCGCTATTTGCATACTGTGTCCCCTTAGACAATCTACATAAGCTTTCTGTGCCCTCTTGCTCCTCAGTATAATGTGGATACCTCACAGCATTGTTTTAAGGATTAAATGGGATAATTTGAGCACATAGCACATGACCTGCTTCCTAATATCTTTGTGGGGCTCAGGGCAAGAGGATAAGGGGAGTCCCCCATCCCCAGCCCACTGCTTGTTGCTTTTCTCCCACCCCCCCCCCATCCTGACATCACCACCCAAAAAACAGCAACCCCTTGGCTTCCCCTCAGCTTCAGGAGAAGGAACCTAGGGAAGAGGTCCATGCTGGACCTGGAAGTAGGTTTAGCCTATTTCAGCAGAGAATTCCTGAGTCCTGGTACCCAGAGGATGAGGCAAAAAGGCAGGGTTGTGGTGGTGCAGAGATTGGGCAGTTGGTGCAGGCTCTTCCTCTCCTCTCTTGCACTGGCTCAGTTTAGAAGCTTCAATCTGTTAAAAAAAAAAAAAAAAAAAAAAAAAGAATTATCTCAAAGCAATAGAACTGCAAATCACAAGGAATAAACTGTAATGTACGCAAGCTAAAAAAAATCATCACCACCAACAACCACAATGGTGGGCAGACTATGACACGTGAATCTTGTTGTATTACAAAAGTATGAAATGACTTTACCGTACAGACTGAAGGATAAAGGAGCCGACCTAAGTAATTCTGGAAGACAATATTTTGACTGGTTTTTAGCTGGTAAATTTGTTTCTTCTGGTGGTATAGACTGACAATTCTGAAAATGCTTCACATGTATACTGGGGTTGAACATATCAGTAAATGGCTGACGAATGGTGGGAGCCAGGCTTCTCATTACTGGAGAGGGAGGTTGCAGATGAGCAAGCAGGGAAGGTCAGAAGGAACCAGGTGGTACAGGGTTAGAGTCTGGGACATCAGCATGAACTCATGGATGGATGGATGGACAGATACAGGAACAATTACAGATATGTGTGTCAATGAGTTTCGGTATACACACATATGTTCCCTAGTTCTGTCAGGTGAGAGGGCTTGGAAGCAAAACACCCCAGTAGTAATGAGCACATATAGCACCCAGATCTTAATTTCAAAATTCTATTCTCCAATAAATGGAATCAAGGTTCCTTGGAGAAACAGCTGATTCTAGGGTTGGGGCAAGGAAAATACGAAATGAGCCTGGAGCATCTTGTAGTACCAGAAAGTAAGGAAGTACTTAAAAATCAAAGGATGGGGCTGGCCCAGTGGTGTAGTGGTTAAGTTCATGTGCTATGCTTTGATGGCCCGGGGTTCACAGGTTTGGATCCCTGGCATGGACCTACACGCCGCTCATCAAGCCATACTCTGGCGGTGTCCCACATACAAAATAGAGGAAGATTGTCACAGATGTTAGCTCAGGGACAATCTTCCTCACCAAAAAAGAAAAAAAAAATCAAAGGATGGGGACATATCAAACAGACACAGGAGGCAATTGAAAGAGCTCCTGATGGCTAAAGCTGGAATTAGAGCAACAAAATAAATAACATAGTGTTGGATAAGAACCCAAAGTACAAAATAAATATACATGAGTAAAAATACAAACCAATGTACAAAATAAATATACTTGAGTCCATAGTAATATAAATAAATAATTGAATAAATAAATAAATGAGGGAGAAAAGACAAATCTTCCTTACAGACGAATTCAAAATAATAGACATAGATGCTGCCCACTCCAGGAGATGCAGCTTAGTCACCCCCTGACACCACCTCCCTCATTTGAGCAGGATTTAGAGACTAGATTCCAAAGAATAGAAATGGAAAGATGAGGATGTCACAGACCATGGGAGATTAAGAACACACGACCAATAAATGCAATGGAATATCCTGGATGGGAGCCTGGAACAGAAAAACGGACATTAGTGGAAAGTCCGAATAAATCTGGAGCTAGTTGATAGTAATAAACTAGTGTTGTTTCTTTTGGCAAATGCACCACGGTAATGTAAAATGAACTGGGTGAGGAGTATACAGCAATTCTGTACTATGTTTGCAACTTTTCTGTAAATATGCAGTTTTTCAAAAAGAAAAAGAGGGGATTACGTCAGTGATATCGTCTGATGCAGCTTACCTACCACTGTCGCATTCCATTCATTTCCAAAGCAGATGGGAACCAACCTAAACAATGATTTTAGAACCCTGAATTAAATGATAAGGTAGGCCCAGGTTGGACCACCCTTTTCGCATAGCTGTCCCAAACCAGGCCTTTGCTTTGTGGGTGGGAATGAGATGGCCCGAGAACTTGAGATTCAGTCCAATATTGTAAATGGTAGACTGGGCTAAAATCCTCTCAGCTCATTGTCTTCTGGCATTCACTGCAGCAACCACACTTAGATGGTCTGGCCGAAGTTGTTTAATCTTTCTTTCAGCAAGAGAATCATCATTACCTATAACGCAGAACCAAGATCTCTGACTTCCAGAGAGTCTTTTGAGTTTTTTATAGTGGAACTGTCCTATAAAATCTACCAACATTGTTCCCACTAGCTGGTAGCCATTTACGTTTCTCACAGCTAACCGCCAAATCAAAAAATAGAAACAATGAACCCTTTGTAAAAAATGTTTGAATATGATTCTTGACCTTTGACATAATTAAATTATGTCAAGTGGCTACTAAATTTGGTACTTAGAACATTGCTGGCATCTTAACCCTTGATGGGCATCATCTAGTTTTTAGACAGGCAGTTTCTAGAAACCTGATCTTGACAAAGGGACAAGTCCTTTGAATTTCTAGACTTCTCCCTCTGAAGTCCTGAAGTCGCTCTGCATTTGCAAGGTCCACAGGTCCTTGTGCTTCTTCTGATACACAAAACATGGGCAGTAAATTAGAATATTTCAAGTAGTAATTAATCTGAGACTTGCATATTTTGTTCCAATTGGCATCTTTCATCCGACTTTCAGACAACACAATGACATATTTACATTCTGCGTTACGCAAAGAGTAAGCTCTGGGGGGTGCAGCTAAGAATCAACTTCCCTCCATCCCAGTCCGCAGATTTACAACAGAGCTGTCTGCCAAATTAAGGTCGAGGCAGAGACAAACTGTTTAATTGGCACACTGGAGTCACAGGAGCCATTTACTGTGACTAGCTACGCAGACAACAGGAGTCCTCTGGTTTTGTTCCAAGGATTCTGGCTGTATTTAAACACTTCCCTTGTACAGGAACACAGATAATTTTGTATGCTACATTTATTTTCAGTTTAACCTGTTTCTTCCTCTCGATTATTTATGAAGACTCTCACGCAATCCTGAAATAAACCTTCCAGTCCCCCCACTGCTGCTATTGTCTTTTCTATTTCATCCTCTAAATTTCTTCCGGTGATGATAATCACAGAGGGGCTCCTCTTGCTTTCCTTGTTTGTGCAGCAATCCCAATGGCGAGGCCAGAGAGAAGGTTCAATTAAAAAACAGATTTATAGCAGCTTGGCAGCCGGCCACTTGCCCCGGTGGCACGGAGCGAGAGATGGAGGCCCCGTATTCTCTCGGAAGCGCGCTTTGACGCAGCAGGAGCTAGGAAAGCAATACTCCTCTTGTCAGTCTCTTTCAATGTCTCTCCTGGTGATCCCCTCTGGCAATTTTGTCTCCTTCCAGGTGATTCTAGCAAACAATTGAGATATCAAACCGGTATAGGTTTTTTTCCCTGACTGCTTTGCTAGAATGATTGGGGCAACGTCCAGATCTTGGGGTATAGATGCATAGTCTTTCATTCCTTTGATTCTTTATTCATTCACTTCATCAAGAGGCAATTTTTGTATTTATCTACAGCAGAGGAAAGCCACTGGGTCTCAAATGAGACAGGATTGGGGTTCAGTAAGGGCTTCGACATATGCTTTTTTCTTTTTGCTTTATTGTAGTAACATTGGTTTATAACATTAGATAAATTTCAGGTGTACATCATTATTTATTTAGATTTCTGTGAGATTACATCATGTTCACCACCCACAGACTAATGACAATCTGTCACCACACACATGTGCCTAATCACCCCTTTTGTCCTCTTCCCTCCCCGCTTCCCATCAACATAGTCTAACTTGTGTTGCTTTGGGCAAGTGACATAACTTTGAGGAATCTCAGTTTTCTCCTCTGTAAAATGGGCATTCTACCACTGGTAAGATTGTAAAAATTAAATAAATTATTTACTCCCAGCAGTTAACTCAATGTCAAGTCTTTGTGCCAGGTGCTGAGGACACAAAATGATCATCAGACTATTCAGAAGCTGGTAGAACAGAATGTGAAAATGTCTCAGGCAAAAGTCCTTCTTTATCCTTCATGGAATTAAAATCTTTGAGAATTAAAGATGCAGAGCCAATGTGGCTCCATTGTTCTTATCCTTGAGGGGAGAAACAAAGCATAGTGATGTGAAAATGATTTGTTTGGACCATGTAGGTAAAACAAAAAAAAATCTGATTGGTTTGATAATGAGGGGCCAGAGTGATTATGCTAATGTTCCAAAAACAAAGAGAAATCTTTAGCTTGCTTGACATATTATTTTTCTTATCATGTAATCTAAACATCTGGGCTCAAGTACTAACTTAGTGGTTGTGAATCTTGGACAAACCAGTGGCTCCGTCTTTTGGGCCACCATGTCATCATCGTGAAATGTCATGGTTGAAACAGGTTACCTCTTGGGTTTTCTCCAGTGTTGATACTCCATAGTTTTAGGATTTCAGCTGTCCTTTTCAGTGGAAGCTGGAAGGACAGTAACAACATGACATAAGCCAACAACAAACGTGGGTCTAAATACTTGCATACTTAAGTCGTGTTTCTCCCTTTTCACAGTGATAAATTATCACTGTGAGGACATTAACTTCAAAATCATTTAAGAGAAAATGCAGTCAAAGTTTGGGGATGAACAGCCTTACACCAACTAAAATTACAAGCTGTAGCAGAAAAGAGATTCTGGAAAACACACTATGATTCTGTGTGTGTCCTAAGTTCAGTTAATTTACACACTTAATCAAAGCATTTGAGATTTCATTTCCCTTTTTTATGTAATTAGTAGTCAGAGTTACTAGGGACCTTTTTTATGTCAAGTCAACAACGACAAGCAGTAGGACCAAGTTGAGAAAGATCAATTCACAAGGCAAAGGGATAAAATGTGTAGTTAAAATGTTGGAAAATTGCAATAAAAAATGAGCAGTTTTCCATCTACCCTTCCTTTTTTCCTCCTCCCTCCATCCTTCCCTTCCTTTATTCTCTCTCCTGTCCTCTTTCCCATCCTCCCTCCCTTCCTCTTTTTTTCTGTACAGTAGAAAATACTCTCACTTTGCTTACCTACCTGGTTATGAGGATTCCCTTCACTGCTCACTAATTTTGTCAATTTAGCCAAGTCGATTCACCTCTCCCAGTCTTATTTCTTCATCTGCAAAACGGTGCAATCAATAAAAATCCCTGTCATGAGGTTTCTGTCAGAGTAAGATGAGATAAAGTACATACAAGTGTTTTATAAACCACAAAATGTTTGCATGTGTCAGTATCATCCTGCCTAGGTCGGCAGAGAGAGATAATGCCCTACCCTTCACCCTTCCCTCCACCATCCAGGCCCAGAAACCCCTTCTCCTTCTTCTCTCTACCCACCCCACCATAAAGCATACATCCATCTGGGAAAACTATGGAAATCTGCCCTGTTTCCTATTTTGTGGGACTCATTTTGTTATGTAGGAAGGATAAATGTTTCAGAAACCATGTAAGAACGGAAGGTCAAAGGGGTTGATGCCACCATGTAAAACCATCCAGTTGGTTTTCTAGGGGAAGGGAAAAGGTGACGATTATCAGTTCTATTGGGTAAATTGCCTTCCTGGTACCAATGGTTCAAATCACCTTTAGAGGACCAGTATGTATAGGATTGTTATTCTGTTCATCTTCATATCGTTTTCATTGATGGTTAACAGGCCAAATTACTCATAACTGATGGACCAACAATTCTAGTTCACTACATTCTTGGGGTGTGATAGGGATAGGTGTAGGTGTTTCTCTCCACCCCTTACAGACTATGGTTGACAAAGAATTTTTGCATCTTTCTGCGCCTTGTTGCTGGGAGTTATGCCCACCCTTAAAGGCCCCAGTTTAATCCTTAATACTCTAAGACAATGGTTCTCAAACCTTAATGTGTGTACGTATGAATCATTTTGGGTCCTTATCAAAATAAGATTCTGCTTCAGTTGGTTTGGGGTGGAGCCCAAAATTCTACATTTCTCCCAAGCTCTTAGGCAGTGCCCATGATACTGGTCTGCAGATCACACCTCGAATAACAGGGCCCAAAGGGGGATGATGAACAGGGTTGAGGTAACCCTAACGTAGTTTGTTTCTGGTTCAGTTGATAGCTGAGAGATAGCAGGGGGAATGTGAAAGCCTGGATATTTCTCAAATACCATATCTGCGCAAGTGAAGACTGAATTGATGCTCCCCAGAACCCCAAAAGGAGTGCACAAAGGACCCACTCATGAAGATGCGTGCTAACCATGTCCTACTGGTGTGCCTCTAGCTGTGTGCCCAAAGACATCAAGTAAATAATCAACAGTTTTGTGTCTTAAAATCACCATCTTCCAGTTCTTCTTTCCAGCCATTCAGAAAGGAGTGAAAGATATTGATCTCACTCTCTAGCTCCAGATTCAACCGAACATTCCTTAGACACAACGGGAAAGTCTCTTTAGCTTCTTCGGGGCCGTGGTTCTGCTCCATCTTTGTTATGTCAGGGAAAAACTCTTCGTGGAGGGACGTATCCAGGGAGGAGAGGCCAAGCTCCGAGTCAGGCGATTTATAGAAAACTGATGAAGTCTTTCCACGCTCCTCCAACACGACCCCTTCACCCCACCAAACGGGCCGAGAGAGTGCATCTGACTGTGTGTAAGAGCTGGAAGTGTGATTGGATGGCTTATCTTTCATTGTGGTTGTTATTTGTGAAGGGGTGTGAGGAAGGGCAGTGAGGGAAGCTGTGTGGGAGAATAATCATCAGAGGGCTCCTGCCCAAGGGTAACAGCAGCTGCTCCCATCAGTGAGGCACGGCATCAGGGGCTGTATTTCACATTCTTAATCCCTACGCGTTCGAAGCAATACAAACAGAGAAGGCTTTTCCCTTCCTGTTAACCAAGGAATGAGGTTCCTTGCTCTCTCTGTATGTAATTCTCATTCTTTTCCAACTCAACACATAAAACACGGGTTTTGAAATAAACAAAAGTGTGAATCTTTCACTTACTAGCACGAGATCTTGAGCACGTTAGTTAACCTCTCCGAGCCTACTTTCCCCACCTGTAACACAGGTAAAAATACATCTTGTTAGGTCATTACTTGAATTAAACTATGTTAAATGGGTAATGTATGTAAAGATGCTAGCGCTTGATTTGCATGTTGTAGGTACCTGATCGATTTTATTATCATTACTCTAGAGAATTTATTTTTTAAATCAGAACGGGTGTCTAAGGACTAAATGTTCTCCAGAGCACTTGAGAACTTCCCTGCTTGTTTTGTGTGTGTGTGGGAGGCTCTGAGTGCTGAGCTGTTTATTTTCTGGGACAATAGCTCTCAGTACAAGCAGGTCTGCATCATTCCCATAAGCCTCTGTCTGTTTAATCTGTGCTCAGAATTAATCCAGAGCGTGACTCTCGCTCCCTCTAGGACAGTATTTGGGTTTTGATTCTGTCTCAGTTAGGTTTTCCTTGGATTTTTACCAATTATAATAATGAGGATAATGATAATAATAGCAATTATAATAACAAAAACTTAGATGATGCTCACCTTCTGTTTGACACTTTTCTAAGTCCTATATGAGTATTAATCCCTATGACACCTTATGTGGTGGGTCCTATTATCATCATCATTCTGCAGATGAGGAAACTGAGGCATGGTTGTCTTCAAAGGCACTTGGACTAATCATGGGCTTTTTGATTACTCTGAGATCCACTTTGATATTAATGAGCACAAACTTTATTTTTGTTTTCGTCAATCTACACATGACTACAGTTTCTTCTGGGCCAGAGTCACGACCTACTTATCTGCTCTGTTTCTGTGTTCTTATGACAGAAGAAAATAATCTTTGTTTTTCAAATTTGAAAATAAATATGAAATCCAAGAGTAAGTCCTGCCAGCACTCACTCCTGAATGTTTCCAGAATCTGACCACTTCTGACAAATTTCAATGAATGTTCTTCAACTATTAAACATGCCATCATCGCTTGCCTGGATGTTTGCAGTAGCCACCTCTCTGGTCTCCCTGCTTTCATGCTTGCCTTCCTCAATCCATCCTCCATACAACAGCCTGAGTGAGCCAGGGGTAAACCAGGTGCTAACATCCTCCTGCTAAAAAGCCTTGAATGCCTACCTATTACATTTAAAATACAATTCTCAACCATGTCAAAAACGCCTAACCCGGCATAGACCCTGCCTACCTCTCCATCTTATTTTCATTGTCCATCTCTGTGTTAGTCAGGACGCTCCAGAGAAACAGAACCGATAGAATGTGTATACATACAGAAAGAGATTTATTATCCAGAATTGGCTCACACTGTTCATGGAGGCTGACAAGTCTAAATTACGCAGGGTGGGTTGGCACACTGGAGACCCAGAAGAACTGATGTCCCATTTTGAGTCTGAAGGCTGTGTGCTGTAGAACCAACAAGAGCAGATGCTGCAGATAAAGGTAGTCTTCTGGAGAATTGTCTCTCACTTAGGGGAGACCAGCCTTTTGTTCTATTCAGGTCTTCAGTGGCTTGGATGAGGTCCACCCACATTACGGAGGGCAATGTGCTTTACTCAAAGTTCACCAATTTCAAACTCAATCTCATCCCTAGGCGCCTTCACAGAAACACTCAGAATAATGTTTGACCAAATCTGGTCACCCTGTGGCCCAGTGAAGTTGACACATAAAATTAACCATTACATTTTCCTTATTCACTAAACCTTAGCCAAGTCTGTCTGTGTTTCAGAGGCTCGGTCCTGCTTTCTCCTCCTTGAATTCTATTCTACTCTCTCTAGAATGTAAGTTCCTCCTGGGAAGAGACTGTACTCTGTCTCATTCACTGATTTAATCCAATGCCTAGAAGCATTCCTGCCACCTGGAAATGCCCAAAAGATGAATATTTAGAAAGCGGATGATTAAAGTGATTGTTAATCTTTTCAGAAAAGATAGCACACCTGGACCTGAAAACGTAAGCGGTCACCTATGTTGCATGATGTTGGAAGCTCAATGAAATCCAGTCTTCTCAAAATACTCCTTCTTAAACTATTGCAGCAACATCCTTGTCTGCTGCCCCAAGTCTGCACCCTTCAAGTCACCCCTGTTTAGAGAACATAGGCTGGGACACTGTGTCTCAACTATCTTAGCTAAGTGTACCTGCTACCTGAAGCCTTCTCCATCCCTGTCACGTAATTGCAGCTATTCAGATTAACTTGCTAGGGGATCCCTTGGGCTGGCATCTTGAAAGACGCTGGGACCCTGACCTTCAAGGAATGATTCAGAGCATGTCAGAGGTGGGTGGGACTCTCGAGATTACCAGATCCCACTCTTCTTTTCACAAATGAAAAAACTGAAGCCCACAGTGTCTTGTGCAAAGCCAGACAACCAATTAATGAAAGAGCTGACTTCAGAAATTGTCTCTTTAGTTTAGTGCTCTACTTAACAGAACAGAAAAATTTCAGTGGAAGGAATTTTGTACCCACCAGTACTGAGTGATAGATCTGAGCAAAGTGATGTTTTAAGGGTTCAGAAAAGGGGAATGTATGTATATACGGGGGTGGAGAATCATTGTTGTGACTTGGGAAAGCAAAAAGTAATATCCTTTCTTCCTCTCAACTCCAAAAGCAATTCATAAGTAAGTTATAAAGATCAAGAGATGAAGAACAAAAACAGATATTTGCTTTGCTACCGATAACATTGACTGGAAAATACTATTCCGTATGTGCAATCACAAGGCTTGCTAACACTCCTATTCTTCAACCGTAGGCCTCAAGAAGAGGATTACTCAAAGAAGAGTTTTAGCCTGAAGAAGAGCAATAAATATCTAAGATCACTGCTTCCGACTGGTCCAGGGCAGATGGGACAAAGAGAGTGCATCTCCACTGCTTATAGCTTTTGGATAAATTAACTTCACCCAGCCCCCAAAAGTGGACCCGTGTTTGCCAGATCCTTACTACCCACCAATCCAATGAGTTGCTTTTCCTCTCTTGGAGGGAAAAGGGGCTTAGGGACCTGGCAGCCATGACTCTTACAGCTAGCCAAATCTTCTCAGGAAGAGGGAGGCGGGTGGGAAAGACAGTATACCATTACTGAGCCGGGGAGAGGAGGCCTGGGTTATGGGATGCGTTGATGGGAAGGACTTTTGACTTTCACTCAATAGCAGAATTCTTACTAAACCAAGTTCATCTTCTGAGTGAGACACCATCCTCCTGCGGGATCCTCCTCTGCTTTGTTGCATATGCCTAAAAGGCAGGGGCTCGTCTTATTTTTCTTTGACTCCCTAGAAGTCCACATGCTCTGATTTAATGCATATAGAGCAGCTACTTGCTTTATATGGGGAGGTCTTTAAGATGAGTGATAGTCTCAGCTGCTTACATTTTCTCTACATCTTTTCCCTAATTCCCTAGAGAAAGGGGCTCTGGCATAAGGCATGAGTTCTAATCCCACAACTCCACTTACTATGCATGTGGCCTTAGAAAATTATCTCCTCCCAATGGGTCTCCATGTTCTTATTCACAAAATTAGGATGATAATATTGCAGGGAGGATTAAATGAGATAATCCATGTTAAATAGTTTTCTCAGTGCCTGGAAACTAGAAGGTACCCAACAAATGACAGCTACATATGGGACTGGCTCATGGGTGTGCAACCTGTGCACACAGAAGTGCCCCGCACTTGGTTTAATGCTCTCTTGCTGCCATCTTGAAATTCTTAATAATTTTTCATCAAGAGGCCCCACCTTTTCATTTTACACAGAGTCAGCAAATTATGTAGCCAGTCTTGATTGTGCAGCTATTCAGGAAGAATTTGGGCACAAGTTACAGGGAAAGAGGGAAAGACAGTGAAAGAGAGAGAGAGAAAAGAAACCGCAGGAAGTGAGAGAAGCACTGTTGGCATTATCCAATTTCTCCTAGAAAATTAAAATACCACGAATAAGAATAAATCCCCCTTTTCCCTACAGGAATATTTCCACAAAAATTGGAATAGAGTGGGAGGAAAAGAGAGATTAGTATGTAGGTCAAAAGATGGATGAGATTTTAAAGGAAACTGTAGACTGTTTTATCATTACATTAAGGATTGCCCAGAAAAAGAGGCAAAATCAAGAAATTCTTTTGAATAGACAAATCGAGAGCACAATACCAAGAAAATCAATGCAATATTATAGAAGCCCCTGACTGCAACACTTACATAACCTTTTTAAAAATGGAGAATAACATGCAAGTGAAAAAGCAATCTTTATAACACAGTGCCTTCAGCTTTTCCGGACCTGAGATTGATTTAAAATACATTCAGACCTCGTCAAAGAGAGAGGGAGCCTAAAATCTTGAGATGATAGTAGGCTCTTTATAAATGCTTGTTAATTAGTTAATTAATCAATCATTTCTCCAGCTGAAAGGGTTCTCGGACAAAGCCCAAACCTGCCGGGGAGTAGCTTCTTCCTGTTGTTCCACATTCTACCTACTGCAACACACAGAACAGCCCACACGTTCATTGCCAGTCCCTCCTCAACAAGGACAGTTCTTCTTCATCCCGAAGTCAATTTCCTCAGATTAAAACTCCCCAGTTTTGGTCCTGTGGCTGTGGCGAAGTTTCCACATCCTGCATTATCCTAGCCATTTCCTCTAAATAAGTTCTAGTTTTTGAATCCGCCTCTGAAAATACGGTGCCTGACCTTCAAGCAGTCCTCTAGATATGCAGCCAGATGAGATCTGAATCAAGTGAGTGACAGATTCCTACTTCCGCTGCCTCAGATCGCTTTTATCTGATGGCTGTCCTGCGATGGTGGCAAATATTAGTCTAGCCATCAAGTAACACCTGGAGATGGAAGGTTTTTCACGGAACTCAAGCAAAGATGAGGGTCATGGGGTCTGTGAGCCGCAGCTTTGTGCGTACGTGCCCTCTAAGGAAGGAAAAGATTCTCAGCTTTCACCGGATTCTCGAAGGGTTTCCTGGCTCCCCCACATTCTAGAAGTTTTAAATAAGAACCTCGGTAGAAGTTTTCTGGGGCAAGAGAGAATTTTTTTAGAAAATTGATTTAAGTAGGAAATTGTAAAGAAAAAAAGATACATAAAGACTTTAAATATCTTATTTGACTTAAAACATATACATATGCAAATTTTGTTATTTTTTTGTGAAGGGTCAAGGCCTTTTTCTTTTGGTTTGTATAAACTGGTTGGAATTCTGTGTTTGTCTTGTAAAAAGCACACCTTTAAAAGCATCACACATGAGTTCTAGTCTCTGTTTAAATTAAAGAGAGAATTACAAGACACTAGAGAAGTAATATGAATGAAGAATTCTGGATTTTTATAATTTTTAAATGCACTTTTCACACTTATACTTAAATCAATAGCATTTATTAAATGATTTGCCTTTGTCAAGTCTTTCCAAAGTATTGAACTTAGTTAAAACAACTCTAATTATATTTCATCGATTTAAGTAATATTGAATTAAATCACATAATTAAAGTTACAGGTCTACAAAAGGGGACTCAATAATTAGTTCCCCCTCTTTCCTACCCAGGTTCTGAACAAGTTGAAAGTAAAACCAACAGTAAATATTGAGGTCAGAATATCACTTTCATAATGATAGAAGCCAGGTTGAAGGACTCAACTTTAGATTTATTAGCCAAGTTGATAGTACAACTAGGAAATAGGCCAGGACTTAACCATCTAGTCCCAAGAAGCACTGGACGTGGGCTGGCCTTCCCTCACAGGGACTGAAGTCTTGGGTGAGCAGAAGTAGGCACGTTTATCCAAGAGAGAACAGCAAGGCTAAGCCAACCAGCTCAGTTTTTCTTCCCATCTTTACCATTTGTAAATTACTTCTCCACCCCGGGGGCAGAATGAGAGCGGAGAAGAGAGGTTTGGAAAGCGCTGGGGGAAAATCCCTCATCATGGAATCCAGCAGTAGGGAAAAGGAAAAGGAATTCCCCTGTATCAGTAATGCCAAGTGCAACTGGCTCCAATAGGTTCAAGCACAAACCTACTGTCAGTGAGTAAGCACAGGACTAACTCATGGAGACAGAAGTGCTTGGCTCCGCTGGAGAAAGCCTCCTGACTAGGCATGTTTGGTTGGCATGTTTCTCAGAAGCAATGGTAAGTGTCGGTTAATCCTTCTGTTTTGTAGAAGTCGTTAGGAGCGTTTTATTATTTACTGAGCCCAGGCCTGCTCCATCCTGTCCATGAAGTTTATGCAGGGCTTAAGTGTTTAACGTTTTACATTTCATTTCATTTATTTCAAGAAGTGATTTCATGATATCATTCAATTCTGAAGAACATTAGAGAACAACTCTCCTGCAGGGAAAACTGAAAACTTGCTTTTCTAAGAAGTCTGGAACTTTCAGGATGCTGTATGACAAAGCAAACATTTCATAATCAATGAAATTTTAATGAAACTAATAAAAGGTATGAGTATAAAGTTTACACTTAGCAAGCTCTACAGTCAAATGATGATAATTATATTTGGTAAGGATTAAAACTAAGAAAATACGTTGAAGCAGTACTCTTTACCAAAATTTTATCTCAAACAAATTTAATGAAATATAGATATTTGCTTAAAATATTTTTCCCCACATGGAGCATCTAGGAGGTTTTAAATATGACCTGGGTGTGCAATAGCTTTAAAAAAGATCTCCTTGTCTTTGCAAAATTGTTAATAGGGAGGTAAGTAATTATTTTAAAATGTAGTTCTTATTTTAAACATTTTTCAACCCTTAAAATAGAAAACTTGCATATGTATCATGAAATTTTTATTAAATAAGTTCTGATTCTTACCCTAGTGAGCCAATTTGGGTGCATTCTCTGAACTCTATTCCTTTCCAAGACAGAGGAAAATCACTCATGATCTTCTCTGGAACATAGGGGTTGTTTTTGTTTTTCATAATCCGAAGTTTTCTGATCTAGACACTCTGCTCTCTTTCCTTACCCCCCACCCCACACCTCCACAATCCCACAAAATATTTGTGACTGGGTATTGCTTCTATGCTTTTAAAGACAGGTAGTTTCACGAAGAAATTTTGCAACTACCAGTAAGAGTGGTTTTTAAAACACATTTCTAAAAAAGGTCTGGAAGTCTGAAATAGAGACTAGACTGAATAGAATTCTTTTTAACTTATTTACATACACACACAAGTGTTATCGTCTTGGCTTTGCAAAGTCAAATCTGTCTCATAGGATATACAAAAACAGACACACATGACAGAAAAGAGTACTGGCTTTGGTTGCAGGAGAACCTACTCTGACTGCCATATTCTTCATTCCAGTATAGTTGCATTGTGTTTGAATGCATTCATTTTCAAATTATTGGTCACCAGCCATTACTTCGGGGTGAAATCAATTTAGCGGATCTCAACTAGAATTTTACAAATAAAGAGAATAGAGTAGAAAAAAATGAGAGAGTGTGTTGCACATGGTAACAATAAATATTGTTTTGTGAAAAATTTTTTGATTTATGTATTATATGCATGCTGGGTTGCCCTGTAAAATGTATTTCTTATTGTAGGATCTTGGTGCCCCCAAAAGAAACAAAGAACAAAGGTAGGAACAAAGATCACTGACCTCTTAACTGTTAAATATGACCTCCATATTTATTGTTATTGTGTTTGACCACGATGGGGCATTTGACACTATTGACCAGCTTCTCCTCTGTTTGAAAGTCAACCCTCTGTAGCATAATTACCTTCTGTAATGTTTCTTCCTTGTCTTCTCACTCTCCTGGTCACTCTTTATTAGCCTTCTCTTTCCCCTTCTGTTTAATATTCCTTTAGCATAAAGTTCATATCCCTCAGCTGAGCAAAACACCCTTGGTCATTGTATTCTGCCTGCTCCTATAGCCTCATCTCCCACTGCTCCCCCTCAGGACCCTACCCTATAACCAGACCAAATTACTTGCAGTTCCCCACATTTTTTGGCCACTCCCTCTTGCCTTCGTCTAAACTGTTCCTTCTTTCTTAACCAACCACCAAGTTTCCTTCTAGAGAAATGTTGTTCAAAATCTTTTGGTTATCATTAACATTGTAATACATTACAAATATATATGTATATGTAATACGTGTATTAATGCATAAGGTATACTCCTATGATGGAAATAAAAGTTTATGGAAAGAAGACTTACCCTTTCAACCTTAACGCACTCATATACCCTCCCCTTCCCTTCCATTTTAAAAAATGCCAATCCTGAACCAACAATTAATTTTATTAACCAGTCACGGGTTTCAATCCAGAATAGGTCAACCCATTAATGGAAAAATACCATGAAGTGAAATGAAAGCCCTTCCTTTAAACAAGGCTCCCTCCTTCCTCTTTTGTGTGTCTTTTCTGGGGCATTTCCAGCATGTTAAATGTTCCCTTTGCTGTGCCTCCAGAATCAATCACTGTGAAACCTAGCTCTTCTCACTCACTAGCTGTGTAACTTGAGCAGGTTCGTTCATGCAACAATATTTCTTAGCGTCAACCATGTCAGAAACACTGTGCTGGGCACTGGAGATACTGACCCTAGGAGAAGTAGACACCATCCACCTCTGGTCTCACAGAGCCCGGAATCTCATCAGTCCTCCAATGCAGACCCTCCGGTTTAATTGGTTAAAGTTAACCTTGTTAATTAAGGTTTAGCCCATTACTACAACCTATTGAGGTCTCTTTGCAGCTTAATCCTGCTATGATTTCCAAATGAAAAACCAAGTTGTTTTTAAAAGCTGAATGTTCCTAGAGGTATGGAGACTTATAGGCTCTGTAGTAATCTGCAATTGATGAGCGTGTTCTCAAGTCTTGGTAGGAGTCAAGGGTAAAAGTTTTTGCTCAGATAAAGCCAAAGTTAGAGTCAGTTACATAGTTTTTTAAGTACCTCTGATTAAGATTTGCGCACACATCCCACACACCTCAAGTAGATTATAATCTCTTTAAGGGGAGACATGACCGTATCTCGTATTTTTTGTGTATTGTCCACAACTTGAAGATTATAGTGCCCCAATAAATATTTTACTGATTAATTGATTGCAGGATACAGTTAATAAGATGCCTTCCACATTTTAAAAATTGCATCTGGAAACAGGAGAAGCAACTGCCAGGCATCTAGAGCATGTAGGAAGTTCCTATAACATCATTTTAACTCCCAGTTTCAATCTGGACCATGGAAAACAGTGTTGATGGTTAACATATTTCTAATTTCACCATATCCACGTCTGTTTAGTTTAAATAGTATACTTGAAACAAACAAAACTCACTACAGTATTGTCTTTTGAGATGGCCTTTATCAGCATTTAATACTCATCCTGTTTTAAGATAATTACAGGAGATAGTCACAGCTAATTAACGTTGTTGCTTAAATAAAGATTAGGTGGAAAGAATTTATCACTGACTTTAAAATCAGATCGTTTTCTCAGCTGGGTAATTCCTGGGCTGATTCACAGCATCTTCTTGAGTCACAAGCATTGCCTTCTCCTCCCTGAGCTGCCTTCAGCTTGCATTGACTTGACGTCTTTGACTATATTGTTTGATTGTAAAGCTTTTTGCCACCGAGCGGAACATAGTGACAGAACAAAACACCAGGCTGGCATTGTTCCTCCCACAGGTCCTCCCTGTCGCCGTGGTTACTCAGCCATGTTGGGGAAAGATAAGAGAAGAACATGGAGGCGGGCTCCTTCAGGGGGTGGGTGATGGCTCACAAAGCAGAAGAAGGTTATAAAGGATCCAGGGGGCTGAGGGAGACTTCTGGCCCCATTCCTCCCAATCTCCCCAGCAGGACTCAGTCCGACAAAGGGATTGTTCTCATGGAATTCAACTTGCAAATTTTGCACCATGCAGGGTTGGCATTGTACTTTAAGCTTCGTGAAACTGGAAGTTAATAGTTTACCACTTCTTGCAACCTACGCTGACAGAGATCCAGGAGAGGGCAGCTAATTGAAAAAAATGGCACAAT